ATGCCCCTCCCTAATGCGATCCTTTGTGCCAAATTTCATTTTAATATCTTTATTTATGGCTTAGTTATGACACTTTATAGGTTTTCGGTTTTCGCCATATTGTGGGCCGATTTTTCCCATCTTCGAACTTAACCTTCTTGTGAAGCCAGGAAATACGTGTACCAAGTTTCATCATGATATCTCAATTTTTACTCAAGTTACAGCTTGCACGGACAGACGGACAGACGGACGGACGGACAGACAGACATCCGGATTTCAATTCTAGTCGCCACCCTGATCACTTTGGTATATATGTATAACCCTATATCTGACTCTTTTAGTTTTAGGACTTACAAACAACCGTTATGTGAACAAAACTATAATACTCTCTTTAGCATCTTTGTTACGAGAGTATAAAAACCTTTAACCAAATGAAAAGTGCATTAAACTTTACAATATTAATTCGAACAAAAAACCATAATTTTTTGTCATTAATATAATACAACGTTTCAGTGAAAAGAATTCTGTCTAGCAGATTAGACGTTTACTAGTTGAGCTAAGTTCTCAATGAAAGAGTGTAGAGAGTCCACCAAGGCACTTACTGAGTTTAATCGTTTTTGAAATGCATTTCTATATTATCATAGGAATTTTGAGAATATGTTCATATTGATAGCTCTTGTAGCATAAATTATAAATCATATATTGTTATGTAGATCGGGTTGAGTTTCGGGTTGGATCTATCAGAAGCACTTTTCTCTTACTCAAATATTTCCTGCAGAGAACTTTACATTTGTCATTTTCATATGGTTGTTTTCGGCGCTTCAAAATATTATGTTCCAAATCCACAGTTTTTTTGCAATTGATTGACTTATACACTGAACAAGAAATGTTTAATTTATAACACCTCGAAGCAAACGTCGGAGACCTACTTTATATGAATGATCTATATATGTACATATGTATATTAGGGTGATTCAAAAAAAAAATTTTTTTTTTTTTTGAGTTTCATCATTCATAATGATTTTATTTCATTGAGTTATAGAATTCATAAGAAATAAAAAATTTTCCCAAAAATAATCAAACTTTAACTGTTAATATCTTTTAAAAAAAAATCACTCGGACCTTTTTTGTAGAGCATTCAATGTCCTACAAAATCTAAGAAACAAGATATTTTTTCAAGCAGTTGGAAGCGAGATATAATCTTCTATATGATAATAAGAAAAAATAGAAAATAGAAAAATAAGTAGGAGGACCTTCCCGTTACAATTAAGAATTCATTTTTGAAGAGGCTTCCTTAGAGGTGTCTAGGAACCTACCAACCGAAAAATTTTTTTTTTTAATCACCCTAATGTATATACATAAGTGATCAGCTTGATAAGCTGAGTGTATTTAGTTGTTGTTGTTGTAGCGGCAGAATTTGCCGAATTGACACTCCTGATAAAAAATCCGGGTCTCTTTTCGGTCACGTAAACCCGTTGGGCTGACACTAGCTAGCTGTTGTAGCAAGTACCTAAAAATGCAAAAATCAGCTGTCTATTTTATCACTTAGCGGTCGATACACAAAATGGACTATTTTGACGGTGTCGGACCAAATGGAGAGAGTTGTTCAGTGAATAGATTTAGCGGGGCGTATAAAGAGGTGGTTGGTATCAGACTCTTTGTACGCATGATATATATTTTTTATGTTGGCGACTATTCTGGATAGGTAAAAGTTTAATATGCTACAGTATTCAGAAACAAGTTGTGCTATTTTCTCTCTTATTTCATACAAAGACTTGAGCTTACGTTCTGCGAATGGTGGTACTTCGATTGAAAGGACGAATCTGAAAAAAATTCCCAACAGAAATTGCTTGGATTACTCATTACTCATTCAACGGCGTGCATGAAGAGACAGCTTGTGATATTCCGCTGTGCTGTACTCTAACTTGTCTGTATTATATTCAGCAGTGTCCTGCTGCATCCGGCTGATTGCTTTCAGCAACATTTCTTTGTCCTTCTCCCAAGAGCTGCAGTCAAGTAGTACAGTCTATCAAACG